TGCCGCTGCTGCTCGGCCCCCGCCGCCCCGCCGCCGCCCGCCGCCCTGGCCTTTGCGAGGGCGTCCTGCAGCTGCCCCAACTTCACGTCTTGCTGCTGCCGCGCCCGCTCCAGCTCCTGCGAGCGGCCCTTGTAGCGCCGCAGCTCCTCCTTGACCACCTGCGTTACGACGCAGATGGACAGCTCGCACTTATGCTGGTGAACCGGAGGAGCTGCCCGTGTTATTCCTGCCATGTGAGCGCCCGCGGCTGAGGCTCCCCTTGTTCTCAGCCGCGGCAAGCGCCTGCCGCGGCAACGGACCAGGCAGCAAAGCCCCGTGCGGCCCCTGTCCCTGTCAGCGCGCCTTGTTGTCTTCGAACAGCGCGCGCAGCCGCGGCGGCAGCTCCTGCACCTCGCTCGATTCAAACTGTGACAGCACCGGTCCTGAGCCACCGCCATGCCTGTTGTGCGCATGCTGCTGCTTCCAGAGGAGCTGCGCGCAGATGAGCGCGGCGCAAGGTGGGATGTGGGGCACCCGCACCATTTTGGATGGCATGTCAGCTGGCCTCCGCATCGCAGCGATTGCAGCAGCATGCCATGGCGCACTCACCTCTTCTGCCTTGCGCTTCTCCTCCTTGAGCAGGCCGAGCTGCCTCCGCTGCTGCTGCGTTGTGCTCTCCAGAGACGCCACATATTCCTGCGAAGGGCAGATACATACCGGGCAGGCACTCTTGAGGAACAGCACGCAGCGTTCGTCTCTGAGTGTCGTGCAGCATGTGGTGAAACGCTTGCCTGTAGCTCGTTCAGCAATCCAATGCTCCTGACAGCGGTATTTCCTCGAAATGATGCGGCGACGCTACTTTTCGACTGCTCTTTTAGGTCATCCATGGCGTAGGCAGACCGTACGCTGCATGATGGTTTGGATCATATTGTAAAATAAGTTCAAAGCGCGGTATCTCGAGAGACGTGCCCTCGATGATTAGGCGCTGCCTGCTGCGCATCTGTTGACCAGCTCTGACTGGCTCATTTTGGCTGGGATGTTTGCTTGTGTGCTGAAAGCGGGTGCTGATTTTGGTAATTTGGTGGAGTTTATGCATGAAATCAAGATGTTGCATGTGAATATCACTTCTCCAGTTTCCTCCGCGCCGTCTGACCGACCGTTGATTGGTTACCATGTTGATGTTGGTTGCTTTCCGCAAAGCGCTGCGTGCTATGCCTCCATTTTGTGCAGTGATGCTGCATGATTCACAGGGCAGTGTGCGAAGAATGCCTGGACTTGCCCAAATCTGACGGGTGACGAGCACATTATCTACAGCATACAGCATAGATCACACACGGCACAGGGTCATGTCTGCAGGATATCCTACTTTTGTGACCTGCACTCCCAGATGTGAGCCTCGTCAATGACTCCGACGCTCTAAGTGCAAGATTTTGTGTGGGGCGGCATGCGCAACGGCAGAACGATTGCAACAGCATGGTGACTACTAGAGTAGGTTTTTTGCACTCACCGTCTCGCCTGCACGGCCATTTATGATACCGTGTGCGATGACTGGCGACACTGTGAGTTGGTAAGCAGTAGCTTTAAATCGCAAAGTGTTGTTCCCGCGCCTGGCCAGGAGCCTCTGCTTGGCGAGCACAGCTGCTGTTCCCCCTTGTTCCAGGTCCAGGCGGTGCCAGGTGCCGCCGAGTCATGAGCCCGCGCTTGGCTCCCTGCAAAAACGTCAAAATTAATGAAAAATTATCTCATTCCGAAATTCCAAAATTCCCAAAGAAACGTCATGGACACGCGGCTAGTCCTACTCTTGGCGTGCGCGGTGGGTGCAGGGTGCCGCAACGCGGCATTGCACGGCGGACAAGTGAATTATCATCGTGCCCATAATTTAAGCTCCTGATGAAACTGCAACGGAGAGGCGCTGAGTCTTGATCAGGAGGCTTCGAGAGCGGACCAACAAATGTGCTGCGACCGCTGCCGCCGTCTAGGGGCCGTCAACCCCGCGAGAGCTGATGGCTCTGCCTGCTCTAACCAAGCACGTTCCCACAACCGTTCTGCACTTACTTCCTCACACGGAATGCATGCAGGCGTGCGCGGCTGCGGGGCGCGTCGCCCCCACGGCACCGGAAGCGTCATGCCCGCCTCCCAACTTTGACTCTGCGCCGGGCCTGGACCTGACGAAGTTTATCGATGGGCCTTGGTACCCCCAGGAACAGGTGAGGGTGTAGCTGAGTCGTTGCCTGAGCCGCCATGCAAGGGTCTGCTGCATGCATGCGAGCCCCCCGGTCTGCGACAAGGCATGACTGCTTGCTCGCAGCGAGAGGGTTGCACTGCAGCAAGCGACAGAGGCAAGCCGCGCCCGCGCCCCAGGCTTGATATGCAGCACTCACCCGCTCTTGTGCGCCACTCCTCTGATCACTTGCACCCCTTCCAAATCAGATGCCCGTCTTCTACCAGCCCGTTGACTCGCTGTACTGTGTGAGGGCAGTGTACAGCCCCATCGATCCTGCCAACCTGAAGGTGAAGATCTCAGCAACCCGCTTTTGTGCGCGTGACCGGGCAGTGCGGAACAGGCCAAATCCCCTGCCGCAGGCTCAGGATTCGCGCATCAGAGCTTTGAAAGCCGGCTTGTGGCCAACGGCCTACATCTGCAGCTCTAGGGCTGAATTCCGCCTCAAACGTCTAACCTGTCGTTCTCACCCGCCCTCCGCACAGCACACTCGCCTTCACCCCTGCCCGATTGTATCCCATGCGCCTGCCTCGCAGGCTGGAATCCGCGTGCTCAACACCGCCAAGAGCGGCAGCGTCGATGGGAAGCCCATGGGCAGCAGCGGCGGCGCTGCGGGCCTCAACTCCATTGTGGCGCTGCCCAGCACAGGGTCGGGCCCCACCGCGGCCTCCAAGCTGCGCGTCGGGCCCGGCTTCCTGCAGCCGTTCGCGCGCCTTCCTAACCTCGGGTGCGCGTGCGTGTCAATGTTGTGCGGGAGGATTGCCACTTCGGTGCAGCACCAAGCTTCCAAGGGCTCACGACCGCTTGTATGTGTGCCCACTAGCTGTTCAGTGCGCCCACGTGCAAATTCAAACATTCTGCGCATACGGTTGTGGCCGCTGTGGCCATCTCTCATAACTCTCACAAACACATCCAATTGGCACCGCAGGGACCTGGTATATGGTCCCTACTGGGTCGTAGCTTTTGCCGATGACTATTCTTGGGCCATCATCAGCGGAGGGCCGCCCAAGGTGTCAACCCCCGGCGCCTGCAGCGCGGGCCGCCCTTCAGGCCAATCGTTCCTCGACATCAATGGCTCGGGTGAGGGGACGGGCGGGCTGCTGCTGGGAGTTGCATGTGTACTCGCTGTTTCTGTGCCTGCTGCATGTTGCTGCTGAGGTAGGGGCCGCACACCCGCTTGGTGAGTCAATTTGCAACTGATGACAACACCGGCAGCACGCTGACCAGATGATTCAGTGCGTGCCGGCACTTGCCGGTCCACGCCTCACAGCACTGCTGCCTCATCAGCTGCCGCGCAAAGCTGCAAGCATCTGCCCTGCCTGTCCGCGACTGCTCTGCCCACTCATGCCTGATTGCTGCAGGCCTGTGGCTTTTCAGCCGCAAGCCCGAGGACCCAGGGGCGGTCAAGGTGATGCGTGCCAAGGCGGCCGCCCTGGGCTTCGATCTGTCGGTGCTCAAGCCCGTCACACAGAAGGGCTGCACCTACCCCAGCACGTGATGGGCCCAGAGCGGGTTGTGCATGCAAGGACAGCAGGAGGGTTCGGACCTGGATGCTTCAGAACAAGGACACCCGTGCTCTGGCTCCGGCGCAGCAGAGGAATGTTGGGTGAAACGAGAGGTGGCGGGCGGCTGGGCAACGAGCGATTACGGTAGCGGCCCCGAGACGTTTGTTTTCTTGCATGCGCCACATCTGGCGCAATGTTGTGCAAGGGATGCTCAGTGCCATGCGATTTCTTTATCTTTGATGCTGTTACCTTGGTGGTCTCATTGCATGTTTGACCCACGAATAGTGCTTGTGATTGTGGCAGATTTGCTGGGGTATTACAGCACAACTATGTTTTGAATCTGTTGCGCACACGTGTTGTGCTTGAACACACTGCGGATAGAGGGCCACACTGTAATTCAAGCAGAGAGAAGTGAATGTTGCAGAGCCGAGCCACAGCTGCCACCTCAGCAGCAGCAGCAGCAGCAGCAGCAGCAGCAGCAGCAGCAGCAGCAGTAGTAGCAGCAGCAGTAGTAGTAGTAGCAGCAGCAGCAGCAGCAGCAGCGGCGGCGGAGGCGGCGGCGGCGCCAAACGAAGTAACTGCTCCGAGCAGCAGCGTCACGTCACACACATCCATCAACGCTACGAAAAAGATCAGAATATTGGGCGTGTTGGTGTTGTTATGACAGGGAAAACTGGGTGTATGGTGGCTGCGCTCAACCTGCTCATCCCATGTGAGCTTTGCATGTGGGGCATGTTCCATATTCGAACCCGATTTCATCTTGTCTAGTACACAAAGGGGCTGACAGATGGCCCTGCACAGACGCCAGGGGGACGGTGCGCGGCGTGGCGGCCGGCGTGCGAGGGGCGTGGTTTGGCCACGCTGATGGCGGCGGTCAACCCCTGCAGCACTTGACTGTGCTTCACACAGAGGGCGACACTGTGTCCCAACCCACCCCACTGCAGGCTGCGATGTCCTGATCCATAATTTTTGTGTCCTTGTAAACCCACTCATACCTTAATTTGCTGTTGTGGACCCGCCTTCTACGCAGAACAATGGTTTCGACGCGCACCGCGCGTGCTGGCGGTGCCGCGCGGAGCAAAGAGCCCGGCGCAGAGACACCTGGTTCGCCCAAGCCGAAAGGATCACCAAAGCGGAGGACCACTGCAGCAGTTCCGGGCTCGCCACCGCCCACAGCCAGCAGGAACAAGGCTAAGCGTGCAGTTGCAAGGCCCACGGAGGTTGTGCCTTCGACGCCTGAAGTAGTGTGAGTAGCCAGCAGCATCCGGCCGATGGCTGCGTGATCTCTAGGGAGGACCATTGTTGGCGTGCAAGTGTGCGTTCATGCCCTCTGCCGTAACCCATGCATTCCACGAACACCATTCGCAGGCGGCTGGACCAGGCGGTGCTCGATGCGGCTGCAACACCGCTGCCGCTCGATTTTGATGACGACGGCATGGACGCTTCGCCGCGTTTTGTGACCCCAGCCACAATGCGGCGTGTTCGGCCGCGCACGGCAGCGAACGGGCGCTCTCCTGAGCCGTCGCCGGCGGCCGCTCCGTTGGCATCTCAGCTGCTGGCCTCGCCGCTCCCGTCGCCGGCAGTCAGCCCGCGAAAAGTGCCCCAGCGCAATGCGGGCGCGCCCCCAGGCGGCAAGGCGCCGGCGTCGGCTCGTGCCGCGGCCAGCAGCATCAGCAAAAAGACCAAAGCGGCCGCCGTACCTGGCGGGGTCACGCGTCTGCGGGCCGCGCTGGTCGTGTTGGCGCTCGCCGGGCTGGCTGCGGTTGGGTGGTTACACACCCACCCACCAGACTCGACGGCCCTGCAGCTGCCGGGCGGGCTCCCCGCGACCGCCGCTGCACGCGCCTTTGAGGCGCTCTCGCTCTTGCAGGCGCGCGGCCGGCTCGCGCTGTGGGAGGCGTCGCAGCAGCTGCAGGGGCTGGCAGAGGCGGCGTGGGACGCGTACGAGTTGCGGCTGGCGCAGCTGCTGAGCAGCTACGGGGGCGGCGGCAGCATTTTCACGGACCACGATGCACAGCATGGCAGTTTTGGCAGCAGCGGCGGCCATTGGGACGCGTCTGAAATCGTAGCGCTGCTGCCGGACGGCGCTGCGTGGCAGGAGGTGGCCGCAGACATTGCAGAGCGCCTCAGGGGCGACGGCGCCGCCGCCGCCGCGGCGCCGGGCCGCAAGGGCACAGGGCTGCTGCTGCGCTGCGTGACTGCGGCCGGCTGCGCCGAGTCCGCGGCCGCCCTGGGGGAGCTCAGCGGCCCGCCCCCCGGCTGCACGCTGCAGCTGGACGGCGCCGCTTTCGGGGGCAGCGCTGCCGGCTCGCCCGCGGCGGCGCTGCAGGCGGCGCTCGCGCCGTTCCTGCGCCGCTGCCCCGCCGGGCTCGTCGTGCTGCGCGACGCGCAGCTGCTGTCGCTGGACGCGCTGCCCGCGCTGCACAGCGCGCTGTCGGAGCTCGGCGGCTTCCAGCACGGCGGCGCCGTCGACGCGTCGCGCGCGGCGTACGCCCTGCTGTACCGCGGGGGCGGCGCGGCGGCCGCGCGGCATGCGGCGCGCATGGAGCCCGCCGAGGCGGCGGCGGCGCTCAAGGCCGAGTTTTTCGAGGGCCTCCTCGGGGCCGAGCTGGCGCGGGCCGCGGACGCGGAGCGCGCGTCCTCGGTCCTCGCGCCCATGCTGCGCGCGCTGCGGCGGCGCGTGGACTTTGCGGCGCCGCTGCGGCTCGGCGCGGGAGAGGCGGCGGAGGCCGAGGGTTATGCAGCGGCGGCGGCGGAGGCCGAGGGTCATCCAGCAGCGGCAGCGGCGGCGGCGGAGGCCGAGGGTCATGCAGCGGCGGCGGCGGCGGCGGCAGAGGACGAGGGAGTGGGTGAGGGCGAGCCTTACTTCGGGACGCCGTTTGACGATGCGAAAGTCAACGCCGAGGTGCAGGGTGCGGGAGCTGCAGGCGAGGTAGGGGCAGAGGCGGATGAGGACGCGGCGGAGGGTAACGCAGCCGAGGACAACAAGCCAGAGGCCGGGCATTTGAATACAGACGCAGAATGGGCGGCAGGGGTGGAGGAAGAAGCGGAGGCGGGTGCGGCACAGGGGGCCGGCGCGGGGGATGCGGACGTTGAGGCAGATGCGGGCGACAGAGAGGACGCAGTCGACGAGGACAACGCGCGCGCCGAGGCGGTCGCAGGCGGCGAGGCGGACGAGGCTAGCGATGCGGGCTCAGGTGGAGAAGCAGGCAAGGAGGCAGAGGGAGTGTTGGAGGAGGTCGCGGGCAACAGGGCGGCAACCAGCCATGAGCGCGTTGCAGATATGTCTGGGCAGCAGCAGACAGGGGTGCATTCGCAGGATGGGGCTGTCGAGGCGGCAGCCGCTGCCTGAGCGTGGTACATGGAATGTGGACAGGCAGTTGCGGCCTTTTTCAGAGGGCCCTCTCCTTGAACGCCAGCCACCTCGCAGAACACACAGCAGCATGCCCCCTGTGCTGATCAGCTGGTCAATTTTGGTAGGTGTTGCTGGCGTGCTTGTTGAGGCTTGTATAAACCACCTTCTTCTTGATTTGTGTGAGTCCTGGTTACCGCTTGTGGCAGCAACCTATTGCAACGTGCAGTGACGTCAGCGTGGGCGCCAATCATATGCAGAGATGCAATAATGAGTTTGCACCTCAGGTTTTTTGCCTCCAAGCGGCCCTTTGCACATGTGATGCTTTTCTCTGGTGCTTCCCATTCATCATTGTCTATGTTGCCATCACCAACTGTAAACCATGATCCCCATGACTCAATTCCACCAGCCAGCTTGTACCTTGTCTCCCCAGCCAGCCAAGCTTGAAGCCTGCACCCCCATGGTGTAGCTGCGCCTGTTGTGTGGTGACCTTCTGAAGTTTTTTGGCCTGCCACGACGTATTGGCACTGCAATTGTAGCCACATTGCGTCGCATGTACGGGCATGGGGCTGACTGGACCTGAATCATCAGGACCCATGAAAGTTTGCAGCAGTCAACTCAAGGTCAACACCTGCCTCCCTTTCCGCAGCAGGGGCCCTCTGATAGCACTGTGTTGATGACGTCTTACAAAATTACTTTCTTGCTTGCTCATTTGCCAAGGCTCATGAGTGGGGAGGCTTGTGATTGCAGTTGCTGTTGAACGCACTGCAGGTCCTCGCACTGCCGCCTGCGCCACCCACAACAGGGAGCCGCACTTCTGCAACTGCACACGGACCGCTTGTAGCAATACGTCTTGTTCACTGTCGAGTAGTTCTACAAAGCCCAGTATCGCCTGATCTGACATTGGATCGATCGGGGGGCGCAGCGCGCCCAGGCGCGAGATGGACGCGCGAAAGCAGCAACAGAAGACGAAACCGGAGGGAATACCGCGCATCGTGGGCTTTCATGTGGAGGGACAGGCCTCCACGCCCAGCCCGCAAGGCGGTTCCGTGCTGCAGGGCAAATTAGCTGGCTCTCCGACTGCGCCGGTGATTATACCTCCCCAGTTTCAGGTAGGCTAGGTGGCATGGCGGCAGCGGTTGCGCATTGGCGGCCGGTGTGCTGCACCATCGTCGCAGGCATGCGCGGATCGCACGCGCTTGCTCCGCACACCCGTGCTCGCTTCCTCGCCACCTGCTGCCTGCAGAGGGAGCCGCCCGCACCCAGCAAGCCTGCAGCAGCACCCGCACCCGATGCGCAGCGTGGAGCGGTGAGAGTCTGCCTAGCCAGTGCCAGTGTGCAGCTTGCCGCTCGTTGCACCAACCTTGCCCTCAAGCCTGGCGGCAGTCCTGACTATCTTATTCTCATGCTTCTTTTTTCTGACATGCGCAGGAATTTGCCGGCGGGCAGCAGCAGGCATCAGCAGGGTGAGTGGAGGGCGATGGCGGGGTGAAGGCTCTGCCTGTGGTTCGCAGTGTGCCACGTGGGGTGCCGTGAAAGCGGCTGCTGCGCCTCAAGGGGTGCACGTGCCTGACGCCGACTCACTATCGCCCCGCGCAGGGCAGTAGGTCCCAGCGGGGCGCAAGCGGGCGCGGCCGGCGGCGCGGCGGCAGGTGCGGCGGGGGCCGGGCCGTGTTGTCTCTCGCTGCACGGCGCGTTTCTGGTGTGCTTCTAATGCAGCAGGCTGGCGAGCAAGCATGATCAGGTTACTGATATTGTCATGGGGCTCTGAGCTGCGTGGGTGCGGCCTAGTGCCTGCTTGTAATGCTGCAGCCGCCCCCGCTCGACTCCCGCAGCCACCCAAGCAGCAGCAGTGCCGGGATCCGCGGCCCCGAGCCAGGCCGTCGACACCGCAGCGCCCACAGCCGCCCCGGCCGCCCCGGCCGCGCCCGCCGTGAAGGGCGGCTCGGGCAAGCCACCGCTGCCCGGCGGCGCGCCTGACGGGCAGGGCGCGAGGGAGGCGAGCAGCAGCGGGGGCGGCGGCAGCGGGGGCGGGGGCGAAGGGGATAAGCGGCCGCAGAGGCTGCCACCTGGCGGGATTCCCGAGAAGAAGGCCACCACCAGGGCAGAGCGGCGGGCCATCCAGGAGGCCGCCCGCGCGGCAAAGGCAGCACGCGCCGCGAGCGGCGCGCCCGGCGGCGGCGGCGGCGGCGCAGCCGGTCGCGGCGGTGGTAGCGGCCCTGCCGCGGCAGCGGGCGCCGCTGGCGC